TTGCCAGGACGCTCCTTCGCCGCACGACGGAGGGGGCAAGTTGGACCAGCGGTGTGCTCGGAGCTACAGTGGGGGCTAGAGCAGATCCGCGTAGCAATGCTATGCTCCTCCGGACCATTCCGAGCACACCTTGACAAAAGAGCGTCTGCGTGCTTCTTTTCTCAGAGCTTAAGTTGGTCGCTAAGGAAACTAAGGTAGTCAGAACAAGCCTGTTCTTCCGGTTTTCGCAAGGAGATGGACATGCTCTGGTCGGGCTCACTGCAGGCCAGCAGGGCTTCAGGATCCACGGTTCAGGGCTATGAGAGCAGAGACCAGGCCGAAGCCCCGACCGCCCCAAAGGTTTTAGGGTTTGGGGTTTGGGGACCCTCAACTCTCAGACCCCAAAGCCTTCAAGTTCCGCCGCAAGCCCAAGCCCTCAGAGCTTCGCGGAAAGGCGCGCCTGCGATTCTGGACGCAGGAGATCCAGGGCGCTGTCCAGGTGAGAGCTTGGTCTCCTAAACCCGAAACCCTAAAGTCGGGTGTAGAAATCAAGGTTGGGATCGAGGAGTGCAGGGTTCAGGGCTTCCCGAGGATCGAAGCTCCCAAAAGGGAAGGAGCGGGGCAGAAACGACAGACATACACGCATGCCTGAATGCCTCTAGGGTTATGGTGAAGCAGCGAGACCTTGAGACTTGAAACCTGAAACGTAACGGCCCTAAGCCATTCTCAGTTGAAGTGGCTTCAACACCCCGTCAAACCTGAAGAACGCCTCAGCCTCTCACCCCAAAACCGTGACGACCTGAAGCCCCACCTGCCCCATCACCAGCTTTCATTCCTAGTGCTGGGAGATAACAACGATCGCAGGGCTGGATCACCTCTAGATGCCCCCGGCTTCCCCTCCAAACCCGAAATCTTGAGCCCTAAACCCGAAGCCCTAAACGCCAAATAGACTTTAAGCCCTACGCCCTAAACCCAAAACCTTGACTTGTAAGCCGTTCCGCCCTCGAGGTCCACGAAGCCGCTGGTTTGGACGTGGTGGTCGCTAAGGCTCAGAAACTTCTCGAGCGGAGCCAGGCGGGTGAGCTGTAGGGGCTTGGGGTGTAAAGGTTTAGAGTTTAGGGTTTAGAGTCTAGAGATTTAACGTTCCAGAGGTTAGAGTTCAAACCCTAAGCCCTGAACCACAAAAGCTTGAGGCTCGGGGGTTTTGGAGCTGTTTGGCACCTTTTGGGCCGTGAGGGTTTCGGGCCCAGAGACTGGAGGTTCTGGAATGTTCTGGAAGTTGTGTTTGTGTGGCTGTACTATGCTACATACAACTACACATACTATACTATACTATACTATACTATACTATACCATGCCATGCCATGCCATGCCA